AGAATCATGAGGGTGGCCGCATGGCCTCTCGGGCCACATGCCCATGGGTCAAAATCCCTTTTCCCCCGGTGAACATCCCAACCCCCACTAAATAGGTTAAAGTGGGAATGTGCACCTACCCCAAAATGGTACCGCCATTGGTTAGGACCCACAGCCACATGCACAGCCACATCTTGAGGAGCGTCGCCTTTCGCTTCTTGAGAAAAAGGGTAGTTAGCTTCAGCCGAGCCGCTGAAGCATGGCCAGCGCGATCTTCTGCCTCCGCTGGTACTCCTCCTGGTGGATTTCCCGGAGTTGAGTGCGGCCAAACTGCCACTTTTGGACCAAGCCCTGGGTGGAAAAAGGGAAACATGTTGGTTTTTTGGGGGATCGACCATTTTAGTCCACCAAACAAAAAGGGAAGGGGCAACGAAATGGTGGATACAAAATCATTGCAGCAACCAATGGCAGGAGAACGCACAAAGACAGAAGAATAAGGTAAAGTCATTGTAATTGTATAAAAATCAATGTGAGGAAAATTCATGCAGATTGCGGTATGTGTAAGCTTTACATAATTGGTGACAAGCAAAAATGAAATCAACACGTGCCTTTCAATCATTTGACAACTATTGTTACCAATTGGAACTAGAAGTTGTTAAAATCGTGCAAGCCAAATGATAGGGCACCAATTCCCTATGGATGCTAGACACAGCATAATTGTGAAAACGACTGGCATAATGCGTGGTGATGATGACGACGATGATGATGATGATTTTGGAGAGTACGAAACATTACGAAACTTTTCAGATTACTCAACGCGATGAGAGACGAGGACGACTTTGATGCGAATTAAAATTCATTCAGAAGCTCAAAAATATGATGTGGCGATTTGGAGGGTATCAACATATTCTCGGTAGAAATAATGAATAAATCGGGTGAAAGGTTCAAGAGATTGACATAATGTTTATGAAGTGCTGACATTGTTACAATTATAAATAGAAGAACCCGCAACAGAATACCAAAGATATCATAGGCACGGGAACTTTGGCGAACCATGAGTCTCAATTCAAGAGATGGAGACAGTTTTCATCCAGTTTGATATTCAAGTTGGACTTTTCCACTTTGCAAAAGAAGCTATTTACAAGTATGACCCCAACAAAATACACCACAATATCAAGACCTTTTTGCAATGGTGATAAATAACCATATTTGCAAATTGAGCCACCGAACAACTGGGTGGAGGTTCAAAAGAGTGAGCACATTGAGAAACCCCCTGCCTGATTAAGCTCTCGTCGTGGCATCTGCTCCACCTTTTTCGCGCGGCCACCCAGCAGGTTTTGGTCGCCTCAGAAATGATTTTGGCTACCAAGGACAATGATAATTGTTGAAGCATGTATTATTTTCCCACCTGCCCGCCACTTTCATAACCCATGACGACGCCTCCAAGGTCAGGCACTCACATGCACGCCAAAGACCGGTTGAACATTTATTGAGGATACCAGGCTGAAAAGGTGAGGGCGGTCATATCAAAATGGTGAAAGTAGGCGTGGTAAGCGATACTCTACACACACCGGCACCTCCTTAAAACTCGTTCACAAATCCAACTGCAAGGCCGCTATTGACGAGGAATTGAAGCCTTTCTCGTGGGGAAACCTTGGCTTGGTTCCTCGCTGTAGCCCCACAAACGGGTTCCGCTCAACACAAACCCATGGCTCACCAGCCAAGAAAACTGGAACATTACAAACACAGAATACTCCGATGGGAACTCGACACCAAGGGATTTGTAAGTTCTTCAAATTGCAACCTGCCCTGTGCAGTGCCGCAAACCTTTACTGCAGCGCCGCACGCTTCTCCTAAGAGTTGCGGATCGCATGGAATCTATACAACTTAGAGGTTGTGGGCTCATTGCCAGTAGAACCGGCGAAGCCGGTTGGTGGAAGCTTCAAACAAATATAAACTATAACTATAATCACTATAGCTATCGTGTTTCTCTCTTTTTGCTATTCCTTTTCTTGCTCTCTGTTTTTTTTTTGTCTCTCTCTCTCTCTCTCCTTCTGTTACTTTTGTTTTTCTGTTTCTTTCATTCCCCCTTCTTCGCTCTCTATTGGTTTCTCGTTGTTCTCTTTCTCTGTACCTTATTTTATCTTGTTTGGCTTCCCTCTCTTCTCTTTCCTTTTCTTTTTCGTTCTTTTCTCTTTCTCCTGACTTCTATCCTCTTGCGCTAGACAGGCTTGTTCTTTGGCCTGCAAATCCATGTCCAACCCTCGCCGTTGTCAGCGAACCCTCGTTCTCTCTCTCGAGCAACACGAGTGCCGCAAAGCAAGCCCGGACAACAACGCCTGGCAGCCTGAGACGGCATAGGCGCAAGCACGACCGCGGCCTGCAACAACACGTGGCGTGCCATGTAACCTCAGAACCCGCAGCTTGGCAAGCTCCAGGTTTGCACTAGCTAAGCCACTTTAGACAGTGGAGTCCCGGCGAGCCCAAGCGAAGGCGGCTGCGCAACCGGCGCCTTGCCTGAAAGCACGAATGTCTGGGCCTAAGGCAGCAAATGAAACATCACCTGCCAGCGCTCAATTGCTGGATCTTCGCCGCCAGAGAAGCGCACGTCGGGATTTTTGTGAATACCTGGAAAGAGGTGGGGCGCGCAATCAGCCAGTTGTCTTTCCGAAGTGCTATGTTCCTTTCAATCTATCTTGCTAGCCTGTCTTTCTATCGATCTATCCAATCTAGCTATCTCACTATCTTCATCTTCTGAAAGCGCTGCGCCTGCCAAGGAAACGTGCCCTGTTGATCTGCGCAGCTACTTGTCTATCTATGTATGTATCCACTTGATTTTTGTTCTTCTATCTTCTCTATCGTTTCGTTTATCTATTTACTTATCTGCTACGGAATTTGTCTATTTATTTACGCATTGTGTTAATCTCACTTTCTATCTCTCGAATCTTGCTTCTATCTAACTATCTATCTACCTAGTCTAATCTAACCTACCGTTCTCTGACGTATCTTTCATTTCTTTCCCAGCTTTCTGTTTATCTACCTTTCTATCTAGCCAGTCTACTAGTTATCTAGCTATCTAGTTGTCTAGCTATCTATCCGGCTCTATTCATCTATCTGTTGAAAGCGTCACGCGTGCCAGGAAATCCGTGACTGACCGTGCAAAAAAGCTACGCCGGCCACGAAATCTGCACCTGACCTTGCAAAAGTTCTGCCGAGCCCGATTTCTATTCCCCCGCCACACGCCCCCGCATGTTTTGATTTTCTCTTTTTTCTCGCATGCATTTATTTCATCTTGTCTGTATGTGCACAAGACTGCTCTTTCTAACCTTCCTTTGATACATCATAAAACCATTCCTGCCAACCCCCCCACCTCCCGCTCAAACACATCTCCCGGTTTTGGTGAGGGTGACGCGTTCGGGTGCGTAAGCGGGGCGTGCATCAGCTCGACTCGCTTTGGGCAGGCGAGATTGGGGAAGGTTTCAAAAAGACGGGGACCCCCGAAAAGAATATGTTCCCTTGGGTTTCCCTTCAACCCAACCAGGAAGCAGCGCGCGCCAATCCCCCCGACCGCTCAACCGCTCAACCGCTCAACCGCTCGCCCTGCCGAATGGCTCCAGCGTGGAGCGATGCCCGGCTGCAGAGGGTTGTCGTAGTAGGTGATGGTGTAGGAGGCCTGGCAGTCCCATTGGCCTGGGGGCCCGTCTGCTTGGATTGAAAGGGAAAGCAAAGGAAACCCGAAGCCCGTTTTGTTTGGAAAGGGGGTGCAATTTTGGAGGTATAAATAAACTATTATAAGCCCAAAGATACAACCAATGCTGT